AGGAGCGCTATTTTAGTGCTCCTTCCAGGGGCAGTGAAGCTGTGCTGCGGGGCCGAGGTATGGAGGTACCTCGGCCCCGCGGCGCAGCTTCCCGGGGCGGCCCAGGGCCGCCCATCTGCTTCCCCCCTCACTCTAGTGGAAAGGGATGATTTCCAGGTCTGGCAGCTATGCTGGCCAAGTAGGAATGTGTGTCCCTCCCTTTTCTTCACAGTCAGCAGCTCCACCAGACCCAGATAAGTTGTGGAGTGGCAGCAGCAGCTGCCCACTCCCACCAATGGCCCTTTGTGGGAAGAGTTGCCTTCTAGGTCCAGTGGCTCTGCTGGCTGGGTAGAAAAGCAAGTCACCTCCTTTTCCTACCCAGCCAGCAGCTCCACCAGACCTGGAAAAGGCTGTTGAAGAGATGAGGGGTATTAAAAAATAATCCTTACTGGGTGTGTTTGGAAATCTGTACATTTCAGGACTTTGAAAAAGTTATTTCATCTGAACAAGACTGGACTCCGATACTGCAATACTGTAAAAGAGAAAATTTAATTGAATAGAGATATAGACTGATGGGTTACCCTAAATTAGTAAACTGACTAAATAATAGGTGAAAAGTGTCTATTAAAGATCAAGATAATTAAAGCTATTGTTATAACACACAGTGGATTCAATATTTAAAATTACATATATATGAAGACAATGAGTGAACATTGAACTAAGGTTGAGTATAAACTGGAGATACTTTGGAAGTGAATTGTAAATATTTGTATATAATTATTGAAAAAGAAATTGGTGTGTCAACTTTATAGATATGTTTGAATAGTATATGTTAATAAAATATAAATTAAAAGCAAAAAAAATGCCATTCAGCAATAATAAGCAAATCAAAAAAAAGAAAAAAAGAAAAAGTTGTTTCATGAAATATACACAAAAAAATCATACATATCAAAAAAGGATGCAAGCACATGTTAGTCATTGGAAGGATGGGTGCAATGACTATGTACAATTTGAAAAATGCATACAAATATATCCACTTAAAAAAAAAAAAAAGCAACTACACAGTATCTTTTACTATTGTTTTTGTGTGCCTTCAAGTAATTTCTGACTTATGGCAAGCCTAAGGCAACCTTAGCATGGGGTTTTCTTGCAAAGATTTGTTCAGAGGAGGTTTGCCATTGCCTTCCCCTGAGGCTGAAAGTGACTTGCCCAAGGTCACCAGTGGGTTTCACAGTGGGTTTCCATGGCCTAGCTGGGATTTGAACCCTGGTCTCCAGAGTCACAGTCCAACATTCAAACCACTACACAGTTCAGCAAAATGCCTCTGTAAATTGGGTAGCACTGCGCAATATCAAAATCCTCCATATGCTGATATCAGTTATAATAGAGCACAGTGCTCAGAACATTACTGGTGTAGATTTGCAATTATTATTTAATGGGAGATTTTATAAAACTATATTCTCACTATATGATAGCATATAACATACAGTACAAACTTAACTATTCAATATAGAAAGCAAGTTACAAACATATAACAAAATGTCATGCCCCACTTCCCTTTGCTTGCTTACCAGATCTATTGTAAAACCGTTTTCCAACTAGAAGAAATGGATACCATACAATGAATGTACAGGTCTTTGAATACTCTTTTGGAATATGATTGGCAGTCCAATGACATCTTATTCCATTTGAGTTTTAAGATTTATCAATTTCAAATGCCTACTGTTAAGATATTATTTAGATCTTCTGTGACACACAAGATTAGCAGCATCTGGTGTCCCTCTCACCAATTATGTTCTAGCAATTACATCCTTTTGTTGTATGACCTTTAGGAATGACAGAGGTCTCACCTTGATTTGACAGATGTTAATTAATTGACAGATTTGAGTAATCTGAGGAGTAACTTGATATCCTTATCTATTAAGGTCTTGGAACACACACACACACACACACACAGAGAGAGAGAGAGAGAGAGAGAGAATAGGTTATGATGTAGTGAAGACAGTACTGAAAAGCACATTAAAAGCAGAAAATGGTAAGGAGACAAGCTCCATGTGCTCTGAGATGGTCAACTGCTTATTTGTTTAAAAAGCCCAATGCATTTTGGCCCCAACGAGAAAAGGGGCTAGAAACAAACACAAAATACACATATATTGCAAGTATTTTAAATAAAGATAAGACCATATTAACTATGTTCCATAAAATAACATAGGATTACATTATAAACATGCCCTTCAGCAGAATTCACTGGAGTTGAGAACACTTTCTAAAACACAGAACTATTGAGTATAAAAAGAACAGATTTTACAGTTTTTGTTATAGACCATATACATATTCCAGATAGTCTTTGAACAGAGTAGCCAATGATGTGTGCTGGAATCAGTCCCAGGGACAACTGATACAATCCATCCAGGTGGTTACTCACCCCATTCATGGCATTATAGTTCAATCATGTACATTCTTATATGATATTACAGTCATTCTCTAGTGTATTTAGATTAAAGATTGTAGGTCCAGATCTTTATTCAGACCTAACTAAAGGCACCAGGGATTTCAATTTTAGAATTCATTCCACCTCTTTTTTTCTTCAAAATATATCTTTTGTTATTATAAATCAGGGGTAGACAACCTTTCCCCTTTAAGGGCTGAGGGACTTCAGCTCCCAGAAGCCTCAGCCATGTTGGCCAATAGTCCCATGTTGGCCAATAGCTCCTGGGATTCTGGGAGCTGAAGTCCCTCGGCCCTTAAAGGGGAAAGGTTGCCTACCCCTGTTATAATTTTTTTCTATTACCCAAAAGTAGAATTCTGATATAGAATGTTGCATTTCTTCAAAATGACCAACTAGAGGAGCTTCCACACATCTCTGCTACAGATTGGACATGCTCTCCTATTCTTCATTTTATGGGTCTGGAAGTCTTTCTGACATAAAGTTTCTTACATGAGCATTCTATAGCATAAATCACATAACAAGCATTGCGTGTACTAAAGTGGGATAATTTGTATCATTTTTGGTTAATATAACTTATAAATTCTGTCATTTTAGTTGGCTAGATGTTTTATGTTGATGGAATTTTTCTTGAGATTCGCTAGAAAGCTCAGAAAAATAGGAGAGATTAATTTAATCTCACCAGCAAAGTGCACAGCAGAAAGTGCATGAGCAGGAAAGTCAAACTAGTTCACTTTTAATCTCCAGCCCCCATGTGTCTTCCAATAAAGAACTAAGACAAAAGTCCTTAGTTGCAGGTAATATAAAAAGATAAATTTACTTACAAAACCATATGCATATTCATACACAGGTAAAGCTTCATATTGTAAAGAAAATGAGATAGAAAATAGTCTACATGCTTGCAGAGAAAGTTTCTTATCAGCGTGATAGAAAGTCATGCTGCTCTGGTCAAAGGACAAAAGGAGAAGGAGAAAGTAATGGCAATTTCTCCACAGAGACAAAGAAGAAGTATGCTCTTAGAGAAAAAACCCACTCCTTTTTGGGCCATGGAAAAGCCACCTTTAACAGCTACAGCCTGACCCCATGGTGGCTTCAAGATGCTCTGGTGGCAGGTGGTATCTAAATGCTGTGCTGCTGGAGCATCTTGAAGCCATACAATTCTGGGTGGTCACCCAGTTTCTGAGTGGGTTCCGGTAGTCATCAGAGCATGTGGCATGTAAATGCTGCATTCTGAAGATGCCCTGAAGTCATATTTTAAGGTCCATCTGTTCGGCCCAATAGCACTAATCTCACATGCAAGCAAAATAATGCTCAAAATGTTGCAGCATAGACTCCAACCATACATGGAGAGAGAGATTCCAGAGGTGCAA